GAGATCAAACGGATCGGCGTTCACCTAGTTAATACTCAAGCTACGCGGATAGCTGTTGGCATTCGCGTGTCGTCGTGCACGTCAAAGAAGCTTGTGTGTCAAGCTGTTCGAGGTGACAAAGACGCATCTATTTTTCCTTGCTTTTTATTTGTACAGCGGCATCCACATCAGCACGGGCTGACCGCGTGGCCACCAGTATCTACCGGTATGCACTGGCAATCTCGAACTCTTTCCTCTAAGCATCGTCATCGAAATGCAGGTTCCCTTGCTCCGTAAATTTCCTTTTCCAGCTACCTAGATTGCACTGGACTGTAGCGACAGTGGTCGTTTGTTCATGCTAAGATTACAACTAACACAATTTATAACTGTTTAGGAAACTGGCTAGTTACTCATTACGGCACAGTAGCTGAGGTGTTTCCCACCTCTAGCTGACGTGTATAATGCTATAATGATGATGGCGAGTTACTCGTTTGATGGCTTTGTTGATAGGTTGCTATACCGCAGGTGCTTTTTACGATGTGATATTTTCGTGATCTGATCGATACTGGAGCATCAGTCGGCCGATGAGCACCCTCTTCAAGCGTCCGGCCTGTATTCCACATGTCACCGGTTAAAAAATGCGTGAATGTCCACGTATCAATGGAGCGTGGCGATGTGGCGTACCGGCGCACTTCCCTTGCCCCTTTATTCATGCATCAGAGATAGCGGCCTCCGGTCGATTATTTTTGGCTGTGTTGACTAGATCACTTCCTGTTAGGTTTCTTCGTTCGTACGAATTATTTCGTGGAAGCTTAGACACCATTCAGTTTCATTTCTGATTATGGTTTTCTCAACTATAAATACTTGTGTTTTCACCGCTCCGTTTCGGTTATCTTGCTATCGCCATTTTCTCCAGCAATTGGTCGTCATCTTGTTTTCGTACTATTCACAATGCCGAAGCAATCACCCTGTAATAGTTGTTCCAAGATAATCGGATATCGTGCAAATGCCCTCACCCGTGTTTTGTGCAAACTTAAATACCACATTTCATATGTTGGACTATCAGTTGAACATTTTCATCGTCTTCGTGAAACCTAACACGATTTTGTTCAAACGTTAGGTGAAAATTGCCGAAACAAAATACAGCCAGGAAGAGTAAAGCCAACGCGTAGTCGGCATCATTCCGTTGTGAACAACTCATGTGTTTGGCCCAACAACCTAACCCAAAAAGCCTTCATGTTTCAACCCAGCCTCTACACGTGCAAGCTAACTGGCTGGAAGTCCAACCGTTGTGAGAAGTCCAGTTGCACCTGGCATAAATTGTTTACCTTTGTTGTGCCAAGGAGCATTTATGTCCTAGCAGAAGAAAGCCCGAGTGCTGAAGACAAGTGGAAAGAACAAAAAGTAAAATTACGTAGGTATGTTGGGCGTTTAACTTCTGTAAGTCAACAGTTGGCCAAACCACGTGAGGCTCGTAATATACTTTGCCCTGCAAGGTCACCCTCTTCCGACCAGAGGCGTTATAGCCTCGTGATCTTCCACGCGCCGGAGTCCAATGATCCATCACCCCATGTCGGCCGGTGGCCGAGTGGTCTGCACGTTTGGTTTGCAACCATAAGGTCACCGGTTCGAATCCACGTGGTATACTCAGCCCGCGCGCGACTGGTGGTGGTCGCGCGGCAGCGAAGCGCCGTTACGGCGTACAGCTGACACGTTACGTTTTGTGCGCTACGATCACAATGGGCAGTTTTTACAGAGTCTAATTGACAGACTCCTCGATGCTGGTGGGGACTCGGTAAAAGTGACGCAACTTACTCATCTTGAAAAGCAAGATGATCAGCAAAATCGGCCTATGAGAATCACTTTTGTGAATGAAGCCTGTCCAAAACTGATCTTGTCCCGCCTAACTAGGCTGAAAGGTTTAAAGATCCGTGTTCGTCCAGATCTGGACCCAGTAGACCGTGAACGGCTCAAGTCTGCCACCATTGAGCTGAAAAGACTTACTAGTGTGGGGGAAATAAATCTACCTATCGTAAATTTTCGGGTGGTTTACAAAAATCTGCGAATCAGGATAAACAGGTTGCTCACACTTCAAACACGCCCGGCGGTTTTTCCTGCGACGTGCAAGTAGCCTTCATCAACATTTGCGGTGTTATGAACAAGCGTGATGTGCTTTGTCGTTTCCTTACCTCTGAGCGGTCAGACATAATGGGACTCGCAGTGGCGTGGCTGCATTAAGAGTTATACACCCAGGAACTCTAACTCAACGGTTACTCGTGCTCCCACTGCGAAGGACTAACCAATGCCCACGGTGTTGTCCTGCTCTGCATCTCGTCTTCCCTGCGTGAGGCTTGTGAGCACCTACCGAAGTGACGATGGTTTGTGTGAGCTACTGGGGTGCTCCATCTACCTCGAGCGCGGTGAACCACTTGTAGGCGCAGCCTATCGCAGCCCCCTGCGTCATTGTTTGGATTAGCTGCCCCATCTTCGAACACACACGAGTCGTCCACACTTTCTACTTATGGACGATTCCCAATGTTCTCGAATACGATGGCCTGGTCTACATTTGATGCCTGAACATAGTGAGGTTAAAGCAAAGTTCGTGGATTTGGTATTTGAAACTGATGCATCGCAACACATATGCCAGCCAACACGCATATCAACACGTTCAACCCCGTCCTGTCTCGACCTGATGTTAACGAGCTACAAACAACGAGTGCGTCGTGACGTTCGGATCATGGAGGCCTTGGCTACAAGCGACCACTCAGTGCTCGTAGCTGCTATGGAATTCTCTTTGCGGTATTCACGTCCGCTGGAGCCAATTTATAACTACTGGACAACGAACTTTGACGATCTATCTCGATCCGCGAGCCAGCTAGATTGGTCTCTGTCACAAGCTGCATCTTTGAAAGGCGGACATTTATGAAAAGAGATTGGCGTCATTGTGTTCCAAATTTATGCCCTTGAAAGGTAGGAAGGTTGGATTGATTAAACCTCACTGGTTTGACAAGGAGTATATAAATCCGGCTCAGAGGCGGCGCAGACTGTGAAACAGATTCTTCCTCTCTGCCTCTGTCAATGACTACGAAGCCCATAAAAGTCAACGGAACATATGCAACAGTGCAAAAAGGAATAAGCCCTGACATTTCGAAAAGCATCGCGAAGATCGCCCCAAAGAGAATCTTTGCTTACGTGAAGCGACGCCTGAAGCCGGCAGGTGATGTTCCAGTGCTGAAGGGTCCGGACGGACAGCTCTTAACCTCCAGCACTGAGCGTGCGTCCGCCTTGGTGGCGCACTTTACTTCTGTATTTGCGAATAACCAGGTGTCTGTTCCGAGTTCGACGTGTACCGCTTTTACCGAACTCGACAGTCTGGATGGCGGCGTTGAAGAAGTATGTCAGCTATTCGCCAGCCCTGACGGCACCAAACCTACCGGACCTGATGCGCTCCACTCACTGATCCTCAAGTCACTTTCAGCTATCATCTCTCCTGTCTTGGCTGACCTTTTCAATAGGTCACTGTCCGAAGGTTCGTTTCCAATTGACTGGAAATTTTCGGTGGTGAAGCTTATTCCGAAAGGCAGCGGCCCTAGCAAAGTAGATAACTATAGGCCACTTTGTCTTTCACCTGTTTTGGCAAAGGTTGTTGAAAAATCGTAAGAAAGGGATTATTTCAGTTGCTACAGTCCAAAGAGGTCCTGACGCCCTCACAACACTGTTTTATGCAAGGCCGCTCATGCATTACAGACTTGCTTGTGACGAGATATGAGTGGTTGAAGGCAATAAGTAAGGGGAAGTCTGTCGACTTGATATTCATCGATTTCAGTACAGCTTTCGATAAGGTCACCCTTGAGGTCCTCCTTCACAAACTCAGGATGTGCGATATCGGTGGCTCACTGCACCAGTGGATCCACGACTTTTGCTGGACGAAAGTGGGCTGTGTAGATCGATGACCATCTACCTGACTGGTATCCCTCTACAAGTGGCATGCCTTAAGGCACTGTGCTGGGGCCCACTCTTCCTGATCCATATCAAGGATCTACCTCAGTTTCTCCGGTCGCCGTGTGCCTTTTTTTACGGACGGCATGAAGATTTGGAGAGAAATTGGCGTTTCCGACGACTATAGCATGCTTCCGCAAGACCTCAACCGTCTATCCACATCGTCTGCAAAAGTTCATCTTCCAGTCAACCCAGCCGAGTCTATTTATGAGCCTGGGGAAGGGTGCTGACGGCCGAACTTACACTCTTGATGGCCAACCGTTATGTCACACCCTCCGAGAAGGACCTAGGTATACTCTCGCGCTCTGATTTGAAGTCCGTGGACAACACGAACAGGTTACATCGTAACGAACTGCGCATACTTTGAGCGCTCAAACGTAGCTTCGGCACATTACCCGATGAGGTTGCCACTCACTTCTTCTGTTCCATCATTAGACCAATGCTAGAGTACGGTTCGCCCGCCTACTTTCCGATTACCCGAGGTGAGGCACAAAAGACCGAATGGGTCCAACAAGTTGCTACCAGGCTCATCCCAAGTTTACGTGGCTTGGGGTATGAAGACCGGTGCGAGAAACTAGGACTCTACACCTTGTCCTACTGTCGGGTGTGAGTTGACCTCATTATGACCTACCGTACTCTACATTTCGGTGACTTCCCCATGCTGAGGTCAATGGTACACTTACAAGGGCTGTGCAGCGGTTCAAAACGTTATTGGATTTAGATTTTACCACTGTTGGATTCAGAGAACGATTGCACACTTACGATAACATGTCACATTTGTGAAACCTTCAATACCGTTAGTCAGTTATTTTAAATGTTACATGAGAACAACAACAATATTCACGGCTGACAATTTTTATAACGTTTTTCACCATATTTGAAAGAGTTATACAGAATTCATTTCTATTTGCTCTGTAATGCAGTATTCAGATGGACTGTGAAATGCATATTATCACACTGCATACATAGGTGTCTCGCTTGCTGCTGGCATTCACAGATTCATCTTACTTCACAAATTTTAGGTTTACTTTGGTTCTATGCTGACAAGGAACCGAGTGATGCCATCGCGTTTTGACACCCACCAACTTCTCGACGTGTTGGCTCAAACAGGTCGCAGTGAAGATGCATTTCGAGTACTTCGTAAGATGAAAGAAATCGGCCTCGAACCCACTCAGGCCACTTACTCCCGATTGTTCCGGTAAGTTCTAATGGTTGCTTCACCGTGCACCCTTTGTGGCAGAGTACTCCCATTGTTCCCACCATTCGCGTGCATGCTTAACAAGTGTGTTAGCTTTATGCTCCCGTTATTCAAGCCATAGGGTGCTTGCTTCATACTCTGTTACTTCCTTTTGCTCATAGCTTGCCTTGGAGTATTCCACACATCATGTAATTCTCATCACAGCATAACGTTCGGCTATTTCGAACCAAATAAATAAATAAATATTTTATTCTCGACTAAGCGAGGCACACTTGCTTTGCTACCTGTGGACATATTGCATCAGCGACGAGTCTTTCTAAACTGCATAATCCTATACATTTTACTTGTACTCTCTGCTTGAACCGATTCTTGGCTTTCCCAATCCTGGCAAGCGTTTCAGTCGATACATTGCCTGTGCTATGACTTTATAACAGCGAGATTGTCGTTCATTTTAGCTCACTTGCAAAACCATAATCCGCGTCTTTTGAATCGCCCCACATCCCCTCTCTAATAGAGATGTTAGAAGCACGAATACAAAGTCTGTGTGACTATGGCTAGATGAACGTAAGAATGTTCGCATTGAAGGGTCAGAGTTTGGGAACAAGGACTAGACCAGAGTGCACTGCAACTTTCTCTGCCACTTGGTGATTCACAATAACGTTGGATTGAGTTTGTTTTCTGAGATCCGTAAAACGTTTGAAGCTAGTTAACCCGGATTGATTCGCCTAGGCGCATTATGTGTCATTGCACATTCTTGAAGCACTTGCCACATTTGGCCTTTCTGGAGCGATGTTTTACCCGGCAGCAGACGAACAAATTTAAAGTAAGCTGTAAGTGTGCCCTCCTGTGTTCATCGTATTCGATAGATAGACCACCTGCGTCGCTGCACCCATCGGAATCTGTCAGGCAGCTTTAAAGCGTTAGATAATTGTGTCACCTCTGACTGTCCGCTTACCGAAGACGCGGACTTGGCTTTACAAAGCTTCCATGTGCTCGCCCACCATTTTCCTCGACGTGCCTTTTATGATATAAATACACCTAGTTGGACTAACCCGCGAGGTAACCAGTTGATGACGTAGCACAACGATACCAATTTGCTTGAGAGATCTGGTCATACTAGCACGTGTCATTTTCTTGGCTAGATGGGGGTCTTAAGGATGAACCACTTCGGTGATTGGAGAGGTTATTGGACACGACACAATCGTCGGGTCAGTGGTGATCGTGCATTTGTTCCCTTACATCCAGATGTTATCATCCCACCCCAATTAATTTTGTTCACTTTTTCCTTAACCTGTTTGCTTTCTACACTGTTCTCCTTCTTGTATTTAATTATTCTTATTTCAGCGACACTCATCATGGATCCACTGCGCTTCGATGCCCGGATCATAGTTGTGAAACTGAGCTGCATTCATTTATGGGGACAACAAGACATGGGTTTTTCGCTTCGTGATAGGACCTACAACGTTGTAGTTTGACTAGTGTCACTGTACAGACTAAGAGCACGGTTATTTGTCACTGACCCTTGGAACACTACTCACATCTGATGGGGCCACGGAGTGAGAAGTGTCACACTCCACCATTTTGCGCCCGGTTATAAACACCCTAGTGTAGTAGTGGGGTGTTTGTTTAACCAAGGTAGTTTGCGTTGACTAGATCACCTTATCGTACTCGAGACCTAACTGGATACGTATTTTATAAGGCTGTCGCACATGGTTGATTGATTTTTCGAAACGATCAGTCACTGATGATTAGATTGGAACGTTGTCGACATCCCGAGTGGAGTCCTATGAATATTCCATGCCCGTATTTGGACAGCTATTCAGCAGGGTTCAGTCAAGAATTCACTTGTGCTCTGGCATCTTGCAGCTAACTCTCTCTGCTGGCAAGTATTATTTACTTTCTTCCGGTCCCATCTGTTGTCACTTTTTGTGCACTATTTTTGCAATTAGCGATGCTAGTTATATCATTTAGATCCAACGTATTTCAGAATGCTGCAATTGTGATTAAGCAGCCAAACTTACGTAACTGTGCACAGTGGATTCTGGCCATTAGCTGGATCTGAACAACAAATCTGTTCGTCCCATTTCCATCGGTCATCATAAATGGGTTTTGGCTTCACACATCACTTCATCGGGACACGACCGGTGTTGTCTCTCATTTGTCCCAGGATTTTCCATGCCTTTAACCTCCTATGTTTAATGCAATGTTCTGTATTTTTTGTGGCATATTTACTTGTATCATCGCTCCGTGATGTGTGGCACATCATCCAACAAACCACATCTCCCTGGTTGGATTGGCAGTCCAGTTGTGGGCAAATGCTGTTCAAAACCCCGTTTGCTTGTGCTCCATCCAGTGATATGTACTTTCTCTTTATCACAGCTTTTAAATCGAGGGCAGGGCTTGTGCTCCACCTTACCACAGCCGGATATTTTTTACCTAGCTACCAGACGGTTCACTCAATCTCAAAGCTTATCAAAAGTGTTACATCACGCGGAGTAGATTTATTGTAAAGTGAGAATAAAGCTTTGCCCGCTCCCTTAAACTGGATTGTCTATTTAGAGACATAGGATCAATATTCCCAAAATCTTCCATCTTACCCATGTAGAATTTTAGACGTGTGTGCATTATCAGACATTTAACGTTTTTACTTCGCGCCATTAGTAAATAACAAATAGATAAATAAGTGTTATATTCCTCGTCATATCCTTGACTCTTCAAGGTTAAATCACTTCACCTTTGACAGACTGCCGCTTAGCGAACGGCCGCGCTATAACGTCCATGCACGCTGCCGCACATCTTGCAGTGTCTGCTCTTTTTCATTACGATTGCAAACCTATTCTTAACTTGTCTACTGTACAACAGTTACAGGAATTCGCGCCATGTTTCTTTTGCACAGACCGTGCGTAAAGTTTACGTTCACTAGTCTACAATTTTCCCTCTTCGGTCATGTGCGACTTACTTAGAGTCCATGCTTCGTATCGTCGCTACATTTTTCATGGCGTGAGCACATGTATCTTATTGGAGCGAGTCGTCTCCGTCAGCAGTCTCGTTTCACTTGAATCCGTTCACGCATTTATTTGATCTCCCCAGATCTCTATTGCTCTTTAATGCAGCACGGAAGGAATTGTTACCCACTCAGTTAATCGTGTTTACAGAGGGAACGCTTCGGTTCCCATTCATTTTACATGCTAGCTAGAGGTGGGCAACACCGGTTTTCGTATTGCAGTGGAATATATACTAATTCAAGTGATTTGTTCGCGGCAACTCCACAACATTTTTCTTCTGTGTTCGAGCATCAAGCGTGCGACAAGCTATCTTTACTCCAATAGCTATTTTCACCATTGTCAGGTCCCAGATAGTCGTTACCAATCAACCGGAAAGGCTAAGAAATATGCGCATAGCGCTCGTATTTCTGCTCAGCCTAATTTGCTGGTCAGACTGCGTTGTTTTAACTTTAGGCCTTTTCGGAACAATCCGAGCTGACGTCTTCAAAAAAATCACGACGCTATCAGTTGTTACAGAGAAACACATTGTTACGAGTGCTTTGAAAGTTTTGGTGACTATTCTATATCCCTTTTGCTTGTCAGCTTATTTGCCCATTACTTGTCAATACCAGGGGGTGTAGCCGTTTGAACGAGCGTCACCCTCGCTTTCTGAATGTAGGCCTTTACTCATGAATGCTACTTGTTCCTGGAGGTACGAAAGCCAGAAATCATGTCCATTGTATTGGGAATGAGGCATGTACTTTTGCTACCTTTTGTTACATACATGTCTCCCCCCCCCCTCGCCAATCGCGCATACATAGCGAAATCTACGAATGTTCCATGCTTGGGCGAAGGCTCATTGACGGACTGAATGAAATTGTCTAGCTGGGGTTGTAAATGACTGAGTGCGCTTCTTGTAAGCACATTCTTTATTACGTATTCTCATTCCGTCCATTGGACGTTATTCCAAGGGCAGAATTGCTGCTTGGCCTAGTGTTCTCACTACAATTCAACACCTCCATTCTCCTCGCTCTCGATGATGGGTTTTCCATCCAGTCTGACTTGTCACTTACTGTCAGTCAACAAGGTAAGAATGCGTCATCCCAGCCGAATTTCTCCTTCTTTATTTGGACGCTATTCTAACTTATGCAAACCGGGCTCTGTGTCTGCCAGCAGTCGTTTGACCTTTTCTTGAGCAGGGATGATGGAGCCGGTTATTTTACTTTGAAAACTCGCGCCATCATTCCCACACAATACAATTCGCACCCAACAACTTGCTCTTCAACATTAAATGTTGTTAAGTTGGCACACTATGTCTCAAGGTCGAATCACCTTAGTTTCCTATTTGTCCTTACTTCCACTTTAACATTGTACTGATCCCACTCTCTTTGTTATCTTGCTTTCTAGAGCCACCTCATACTCCTTCCAACTACTATGACCACGTATTTAGTCTAAGTTTACCGGTTTTAAGCAATTAAGATTTACGTTTTCTAGGGTACGCTTCATTTAGAATTAGTCCCGTCTCCACGGTTCTCTGCTCTTTCTAGGGGTAGATGACTGGAGTACTTTGTTTTCTTTTGTTCTCCATTAATTAGCGTGATATAGTTAGCTCTGAAGGCACTTGAAACGCACCACTTATACTAACTCAGTAGGTCTTCTAGATACATTTGACGCATTACACTACTCATGGCTGTCCTCGGTATCCGGCCTGGTGTGTTTTCAGGGCTTATGCACCATGTTAACGATCGACTGGATTCATCAATTCATGTCGCAGTGCTTTTGAAATCACGAAGATAGTTGTTGCCTTTTCATGACACCGAAATGTCTAATCGTCCATGCAAACTTCGTTCGACCGCGCTTTATGAGCATCTGTTCCGTCTTTACGTTGGCTATTTATGCCGTCCGACCAATCGATTGGTTATCACATTTGATCACGCAGACATCTTACTGTCTCCATTTTGCTCTCAGGGCCTGTGCAGAAGACTCCGGTGCATGGTATCGCGAGAATGAGCACAACTTTCGAATCAGCGATGCAACGCTATCCTCCCCTCCGGTTTTGCGGCGTATGGCGTACGTTCCCTCTCCATCTCATTCCGTATACCTTTTACATGCATTGCTTCTGATTTGCGCACTCAGTGTGCTTACGCCCTGGCCATGATTGCATCAACCACATAGTTACTCTTCACAAAGTTTTAGAGCAGACACACACATACGGACGACCGACTATGGTGGTTTTCCCCTACTTGAAAGCCGCCTTCGACTTTGTTAACCGCGCCAGCTTGTAACATTGCTTGTCTATGAAGGACTTGCCGGCTAAATTACTTTCCATTATGCAGTCTCTCCACGGTGACTCCCGAAAACGTATAAGGGTCTGCGCGAAACTACCTCCTGACTTCCCCAAGACAAGTGGGGTTCGCCAAGGTTGTCATATATCTCCATTCCTTTCCAGCCTTGTTATCGAAATGATCATGAGCAACTCTGTTATTTCAAACTCTACCGGAATGGAACTTCTGTCAAGTGCCTGACTAACAAATTTGGAGCATGCGGACGACATAGCTCTTCTTAAGTCCGACGCAGTGGTTATGCCCACACTGCTGAATAGACCGGCGCGTAGCGCTGCACGCTTCGGCGTATGCTTTGCACCTTCGAATTGCAAACTACTGCTGCGGGACTGGATCGACACAGCGGTACTGGCTACTATCGAACAGCCACTGTACGTAATCGACCGGTTCACTTACCTTGGTAGCTGTGTCATCTCTGGTGGTCACCTAGTTGAGGAAATCACTTCGCGTATCAGCAAGACTTGTGCGGCGTTCTAGAGACTCAATCACCTATGGTGACGGCGGGATGTTATCCTATCAGGGTAAGGTAGGGTGTATAACTCCTTGGTAAGGCCGGTTTTACTGTATAGACTAGAGACCTGGCCGGTTCGCAAAGAAGACATTAAACACTTGGCCATGTTTGACCACAGGTGTATGCGGAGTACTGCTCACATTTGGTGAGAACACCGGATGAGCAATGCTGAGGTCCGCCATTTGGCTTTTGGCCAGAAGCCTTCTGGTTCCCCAGTCAAGTGTTTTCTATATCTTAGTCGCTTAATTTGGCTAGGCTATGTCCTCCGTATTGTGGTTGCCGCTGAAGGTACAGCTAACCTGCTGCTACTGCGTAACTGGCCGTCGCCAGAAATCCGTTGTGGTTGCCGCTCAATGTACGAATAAACCTGCCTGAATTTGTTGTACCGCCCCCAACCAGTTCAACCCGCAACACCATGAGAACGCTAAGACCAGTCGAACCGAGGGATTCCGTATTATATGAGAGCATAGCGCAATAAGTAGGTTGTAGGCAACTACTAACACAACAATATTGGAGATGCTAATTAGTATCAATTAACACAACTCGAACGGTTCAAGTTCAGGGTTCAACTGGCCGCTGACCCCACATATATTCGCGTCTGATCTCTGCTCGAGTTCGATCTCCAATAGTAGATCGATCCAATGTTGCACCACGGGTTTCGGCTTGTACACTGACCGTAAGCTGGCTCTTCGTTACACTCCGTGTGTCCGTTGACCAGTTTCCTCGGGTTGCATTATACGCCGTGGATACATCAATTTGGGCGAAACCGCGAGGTGACCATTCCACGACGTGGCATAGAGGCGTGAGAAACTGACTGAGAGACTTGAACTGGCTGGTGCATCCGGTTTTCCTGGATCATCATCATCAGTACACGTTAGCTGAGGGTGAGAAACACACCACAATTAATGTGCCGCAATAAAAAACGATAAAACACTACAAAATTACACTACAAAATAGATTCCAATCAAGTAATATGATGTTAAATATTATATTATGCGTTTTGTATGAGATCGGAGTTGAAGGGAGAATGTAAAGCGGAGGATGGTGGACAAAAAAACTCACAACACAGGCGCCATTGGGGCTCTTCGCCATATCCGCAAGTATGTACAGCAAAACGTGTTCATCGTCCTTAGGACCCCAGCCAGGCAGTCGGGATGCACCAACCGACGCCAACTTCGAAGTGAGGGCTTTCATTTCTCCCAACCAGGTCATCGCTTGGCCTCTCCTCTTCCGACCGTGCCCCCGCCGCGCAAACAATGCACGTCGCGGGAGTCGGTGTGTTGGCATGCGCAACACGTGGCCCCAGTTACCCGAGCCTAGTGCGTGATATATTGGTGCTGAGCGGTTTACCAGCTTTTCCTGCACCAAATACGCGACATCGAACACGCTCATTGCTCACGCGGTGCTCCCACCAGAGGTGAGCTAAGCTGCGAAGGCAGCGATGATCGAAGGTGACTAGATTCTTTATGTCTGTCGACCTGAGGGACCAGGTTTCACAGCCATATAGGAGAGTTGAACGGACGGCTGCGTTATAAACTCTGCTCTTCAGGGCGAGAGTAATGTTGCGTCTGCGTCACAAGTGGCGGAAATTGGCAAAAGCACCTCGAAGTTTTGCTACACGGTTCCTAATCTTAGCTTCGATCCCACAGGCGCTAATATAGCTGCCCAGGTGTTTGAATTCCTCAACAACTTCTAGCTGATCACCACCAAGTGTCAGCACGGATGAGTCCTTGCCAATCTTGGAGAACTTTGCATTTCGATGGAGCAAAGCATAGTCCAAAACGATTGACAGCTAGTGCTAATCTGGCTAGTGCGACTTGGCACGTACGGAAGCTGTCACAGATGAGGGCAATATCGTCCGCATACTCCAAGTCAAGAAGTCGCTCACCAGAAAGTAGCTCCCCACCTTCTAGGTCGTGTTCAGTGAACGGTGTTTTTATGATTTCGTCAGCTGCGAAGTAAAAGAGGAAAGGTGACAGTGGGCAGCCTTGCCTCACATCGCTGGTGATACTGAAGGGCGTCGGCTGCAGTGACAAACACGCACCGTTTGTCCCCGCGCGACTTCGAAGTATGGAACGAAGCAGCTAATATAACGGCACGCATCCGACTGTTGACTTGAATCCAATCGATCAGGGCAGCTTCAGCTCGGGGACTCAAAACAATGCCGACGCTAACTTAACCGACATTTAAAGCTGCATCATCGCCAGACAGGCGCAATGAGAATGTGTCGCATGTGGGGGATCGCAGAATAAGCACGGATCTCGAATCTTGCAGGTGGGTTTCTGATAAACAGCAAATATCGATCGATAGCGTATCGATTGTTCGGGCAAGTGCTGCCTCTTTTACCAATCTGTAGCAAATTGCGCGTGTTGAGACATGCCAGTCTTAGCGGGTCTCCAAAGGGAGACGGAGGAACTTACAAACTTATCGTAGTTCGAGATCTACCGTTGATGCAGTGGCCCGCCTCGTACGTTCTATACTGTCAGATCAACTCGTAGGTCTTTTATTGAGTGTAACAACGCATTCTGCTGTATAAACCGCTAAATGCTGTTGAAAGATGTACTCATATAAGCAATACATCTCCATCATCAATTTGTTGAGTGATTATTTTACTGGACGCAGAGGCGTAGCATAGCAGGGGCGGCGGGTGCGGTCCGCCCAGGACGGCGTGTGACAGGGGGCGACATTTTTAGTACGGATGACTGCCTAATACCCAGTGTAAATTCATCAAAATTTATTCCAGGACCGAAGTGATGAAAACAAAGCATGGTACTCATTTTGTGACCCAAGATGAAATTGGTACTACAGCTGTTGATATCCGGGTAAACAGCAAGCTATCTTGACAGCATAGAAGCAGCGGGAAATTTTTGTAATGCTGATGCAGTAGAAGCGCGCGACGTTAAACAGTTGAAAATGCCAGCATACTTTTACATGCACACCAATCGATTACATGGGTTTCTGCAAGTGGGCTGTTGAGATTTTTCATGAAATTCTTACTATGCTTGTCCGGCTCGGAGCTACTGTCTTGCAGCATGTCGAGCATGAATTCCATAAGTGGTACTACCTGGAACGAATGCAAAGCTGAGGCTAAGAAGCTAACACGAACTGTTTTTTTCGGGATTTGCGAAACCGTGAGCAGAGATTGCGAACACCGATGGTGTATTCTTCTTCTTCAAAAGCGGCCCTGTTTGGTTTCGGCTACTGGATGTCTTCAACGGCATAGTCTAGTTTTTTGACTGGTGGAAACTAATTCTAAAAACATGTGAACACGAATCCAGTAAATCGCTGCTAAGTCATCCCTCAACTGCAGAGAGTTAGTGGTCTGGCTAGTTGAAGGAAAGGCAATTAACAAAATGGAGCAAGTAGTTGTAGAAAAGTGATTGCGTGAAATTTTAGCCAGAACACTTGATATCGTCAGGTTTCTCACCAAGCAAGGCACGACACTGTGTGATCACTGAGAAGACATCCAGGATGACAAGAGGCCACGACATAGAGGGAACTTTTCAGAATTGCATATTTGTTGACGAACGTTTGGTGACAATTCAGCTGGGAAGGAAAATCAGCGCCTTTTCTTTGTCGTCAAACGTTCAAAATGAATTAGTGAGGATTTTGATAAATCAGGTGAGAAAGAACAATCATAGACCAGGTCAAGGAAATCAAGTATATTTGCTAAATTTTTGACAACGCTCCCGAAATCAGATGAATGAAAATATACTGACGGTAAAGGAGTCGTTTCTGAGCTTCATTCAGACCTGCTGCAAAAGGGCAGATGAAATTTCTGGACTGGCTTTGAGTGAATCGGAGGAGGAGGATGGAATTCAGATTGACGAATGTCGTGGCCAGGCATTTGACAATGGTGCTGTTACGGCGCGCTAACGAATGGGTGTCCAGAGACGTATCTGTAAAATCAGCCCAAATTCTACCTTTGTGTCATGTATAAACCAGTCTCTGTGTTCATGCAGCTTCTGCGACGGTTCATTCTGTTACATTTTTTGTACGATGGACCAGTAAGGTACTTTTCAGCTAAATACTACTTGAATACTTTGCTTCCAGTCATCGGTATAAATATCAGGTGACTGTAAAATCCATATGAAGTAGTCGAGCGGGTGCTGTAAATATTGGGGTGCAGAAATACTCGGAACTCATCATTTCTGTGAAACATTTCACAGAATAAGGAGAAAAAGCAATCCCAAGATAAGCTGCATCTTTAATCCTGA